CAAGGGGGGGTCTGTCAGGGTCTGTGCTAGGCTCAGCCACTGTCACAACTGTTGCTGAGGTGGCTGCTGTGGGCAGGGCAAATGCAGCCGGGAAGTCAGAGTAGAGAAAGGGGCCGAGGGGTCTGAACTGGCCCCTAGCGCAGGTTCCAAGCCATTCTGGTTCTCCTGGGGGCTGGGGCTGTCAGTGGTGGGGAGGGGCGCGGGGGGGGCCTCACCCCCAGTCTCCTCCTCCAGCTCCTCCTCCTCCTGGGCCTCCTCAGCCTCTGGCCCTGAACTCCGTACCCTCTTTGGCTCTAGCTCCTCTCGGGATGGGTCATCACCCTCCCCACCCCGATCCACCTTCCGCCGCCGCCGCCTCTCCAGTGCCCGGCCCCGTGCCCGACTCCCGTGGCGCTCTGCCTTCTCCAGCTGTGATCACAGATAGGCAGAAAGACAGGTTGTGGGCCAGTGGTCAGGCCTGAGCTCCCTACTTGGCCTGACCTACTGGCCCAGCCCACAACCCCTCTCCTCACCTCTAGAAGTGTGCGGATCCTCTCCAGATCTGGAGGCTGTCCTGCCTGCAGCAGCTGCCAGATGCTGTGGTTCTCATCCAGAGTCACCTCCAGCAGGTCCCCCTCCATCATGAGCTCCTCCAGGGGGGCCCGGGTTGTCTCAGGCAGTTCCAATGCAGGGCCAGTCAACTGTGGCAACAGCGAGGACAGCAGCTCCAGATCTGAGAGGTTGCAGGAACAAGCTGGGTTAGAGGCTGGCCTTGGTCTTATCCCTACCACCGCAACAGAGTTGAAAACTATACGGGTCAACTCTGGTGATGTGTAGTCAATAGCCTGCCCCACACACCTAGACCTACCTCTCTTACCTGAGCCCTCCTCTGGGGCTACCTTCTCAGGACTGGTCACACCATCTCCATTCTCCAGCAGGCCCTGGGCCTGCCAAGGAGAGCAAGAACGGGTAAGGGTAACTGAAGAACCAGGCCTTATTCTTCCTTTCCCAATCCCAAACTTGGGACCCTCCACTTCCTGGAGGAAGAGAGCAGACACCAGCTGCCAGCAGGGAGCAAGAGTCTAGGCATCTGGACAGATGCAGAATGGGGCAGGGTGGCTGGGCCAAAGGAGACTGAAAATTGAAGAACAGGGTCAGGGCAGGGCCAAGCCTAATTGAGGCAGGGGCTAAGAGAGGGGAATTTGAGGACAAAAGCTGGACCGAGCAGCTCACCTTGAGCATATCCTTGCCACTGCCTTCACTGAGAGGGTCAGAGGCAGGGGCTGAAGGGTAGGTAGGGGGCTCCTCGGGCCTGGGTTCAGCCTGTAGCCGTTGGCGGAGTTCAGCCAGCCGTCCCAACAGAGCAGTCACATCCTCAGTAGCCAGAGCCTGTCTGGCACGGCCTTGCCAGCTGATGGCCCTCTCTGTGAGGCATTGTAGGGCTTCACCCTCGGGCAGCCGCACAGGCAGTCTCTGCAGAGCTACCAGCAGTGCCAGGATGGTCTCCAGGCGTGGGCGCCGTGACCGCATACACAGTGGACACAGGAATTTGGTGTCCCATTCCCACCAGGCCAGCAGTGGGGATGAGGTGGGACTGGGCCTTGGAGAGCTGAGGAGGCGGGGCACTGACACACACCGCCCATGGAACCAGTCCTGACACAAATCACACTGCAAAGCTCCTGCCCCAGCTGGCACCTGCCCACACACACAGACAGAAGTTGCAGAGGCTGTGGTCGATGATGCCAGTGGACTAGGCTTGGCTGAGTTTGTGCGACGCAGCTGCAGGATACCCTCCTTCTCTTTCTGTTCCCCCTCCTTGAAGGCCACGATCTGCCATGCCCAGGACAGGAGATTAGGTCATTAGCTTATCTCATTCCTTCTCTGGCCCCCTTAACACCCCACTCCCAAACAAGGAGAACTGAGATTCAAGGAGCAAGCAATCTACCCATGGTCACCCAGCTCAGACACTCTATCCTCACCAAGCTCTTCTCCCCATCTCTAAGCTTCTTACCACAGAGCCTGGGTCCCTGAGGTCCTGCGCAGACAGCCCCAGCAGCTCTGTGTCAGATTTGTATAACCCCAGCTCCTTCTCCATCCACCGGCTGCGCTTGGTGCTGTCTGAGCCGGCGTCTGCACACGGGCAGAGCACCTGAGGCAGGCAGACAGAGGGGGAATGACTGGGATTCTCCTACCTCCCACGCCCTCTCCTCCCCATCCAGTGCCCATCAAAAACCCACATTCTCATATAAGCCACCTTACAGCAGCCAAGGCAGGTGCAGGGAAGGTTGTGGGTCAAAGTCCCAGGCCTCACCTCCAGAAGCGTGTAGCAAGAATTCTTCTTGAGAAAGGTCTTGGAGGCCTTCTCCCTCCAGGAGTGTGCTGTCAGTACCTGCATCTCTAGCTGTCTCAGCTCTTCTAATCCCACAGGAAGGTCCCGGCCCACAGCCACCAGGCCCTCCAAGTCATCCAAGCAGGGGTAGTGGTCACCATTCTAGGGACAAGGGCAAGAGAAAGCTCAGTTCAATTTGCCAAAGTCTACTGATGCTTACTCTTTGCCTGGCCCTGAGCTGGAAAGATGGACTGAACCCAATCCTGAGGCAGGAAAAAAACAGGTCTCATTCTAAGCAGCACCCATCTGGCTCCTCTCCCACAGAGCCGGCATCAAAGGCTTGGCTCAGTCCCAAACATCCAGTCTCCAGAACCCCCGACTAGTTATTTTGTTATATTTGCCTTTTCTCTCAATGCCCCTGCCCTGTTCCACTCCCACATCACCTGCCTCCCTGGCCCACCATTCTCATCCTATCCAGTGCCCTGTCTTCCTTCAGGCCAGCCTCACGACCCCTCTTCTCAAACTGCTTATCAAGCACATTTTGCCTCCTTACTATGTGCCCCTTTCTTCTCTCTAGCCAACCCAACCCAGCAATGCAGCACAATCCCGTTTATGTGCCATCTCTTCCCAGCTGGACTAAAGGCTAGGGGTGGAAAGTGGGGAGTGGTAGGGTCCTCACTTGGATCTCATCCACATCAGCAATCCAGGCCCGGGCCTTAGCAAGAGCCTCCTTGAGAGCCTGGATGTTAGGTAGGTGAACCGGGATGTTTTCTGCTTCACGGATTATGGCCTCGAGTGTAGCTGGTGGATGCTTCTGCCTAAAGGTAGGGAAAAAAGAAGATTCAGTCTGGTGTGGTCTACCTGGATCAGAAGCCCAGCCCCTGACCACCAGATATATGTGCATGGGCCCTATGAGTGTCTGTTATTCCTGCTGCCACTTGGGCTGACTTAGTTATATTTTGCCTATAAGTGGCTGCTAGCCCCTGCTTCCTCAAGACTGCATGCACCCAACTTCAGCCTGCCAAAGTTTTTGCGCCTCTGCTTGTCCACCAGTCTGTTGGCATGCTGGCAATGCTTACATACACAACCCGTGTGTGTAATTTGTTGCTGCAGTCTGTCAGACTGCCCTGTGTGTGGTGTCTTTCTATCAACATCTGTCCATCCTCTTGTCATTTGTGCTTCTGTGCATGTATACATGTCAGCCTGGAGGGCTAGTCCTCTACATATCTCTATCTGTCCATCTCTGCCTCTACATATATACGAAGTTATTAAAAAGGACAAGAAAGGGAACAAAAGAGGGGAGGAGAGTCAATACTTCAGTACAGGAGTGTGATGCCCAAGGCATCATCTTCAGGGTCTCCACTAAATTTTTAAGGTGGGAGTAGGGCAGGAAGGAGAAAAGGTTGGACCTACCTGGCCTCCAGGCAAAGGTGGGCTTTCTCCTCCCAGCGTTCAGCAATGGTCAGCAGCTCCTGCAGCTCAGCCCGGGCCTTATCCACAGCAGGGCTAGGGGCTACACTGGCACCCGCAACCAACAGTCCCCGCATGACAGCCAGGGTACCCCTTCGGGCTGAGGGGGCCAGCGTGCGTTTCACCTCATCTAGCCATCGCGCCTGTTCCACCTGCCGCTGGAGCTGCTGGGCCTCAGGCACCTCCACCCCCAGCTGCCGCCCCCTCTCCAACAGGGACTGCAGTAGCCCTGGACTAGAGGGCAGTGAGGCCAGAGCCTCACGAGCTTCAGCCTGGTAGGCCTCCACTTGTTCCAGAATACCCTAACAGGATACAGGATAAAGAACAAACTCCTTAGCTAAGCCAACTTAGGTGTCCCACCACCAGATACCTTTGCCTCACCTACCTTTTTAACCCCTCCAAGCTTTTGGGAAAAAGGAGCCTAACAGGGCTAGACTCTTTCCTTCCAAGCCCTAAGTCAGTGACTCCTAACACTACTCATTAGAATGCCCTGGATAATTTGTTTAAAATGCAGACTCCTGGGCCCCACCTCTAGAGATTCTTAATAGGTGTTGGTCAGGAATCTGTGCTTTAAACTCTCTAGAGGATTTGGCTCTCAGAACACCAAGACACCCTCTGCCCTAAAAAATGCCATGCTATGCTTAGTCCTCATACAAGCCCTCACGCTCCTACTGGGATCTGCTGCCCTCTCCATCCCACTTCTCCTCTGCCTTCATGAACTTCACTCAACTTTCCAGGCCCAACAAGTACCCTTGTTACCTCCTTCTCCACCTCCTCCAGGAAACCTCCCCTTAACTCTGTATCCTACACTTATACCCTTGCCACCTGCCCCTCAAATCCCATTTCTAGGAGGAAGTCACTAGACCCTTGCTTCACACCTCCCATTCTTTTCTCTCATGTGCATCCTGTCTCACCCAAATACTTTAAGCTTTTGAAGGGAGCCAAGAGTGGCCTGCTGCTCAGGTGCCCCAATCCCCCTGATCCCTCAGCAGCACTCCAAGCCCACTGCTCCTCACCTTGACATCCCCAATCTGGTGCATGGCACAAGGCAGGTTGTTCATCTGGTCCAGAAAGGCCCGGAGCTCAGCCAGGGTCATCTGTAGACCAGCCACCCTGTGGGGGCTATGGAGTTTCACATGTGGGGTTTCAGGTCCAAACCCAGTTCCCTCCCTCTGTCTCTGTGCTAAGACCTAATATCTTTCCTCACCACACCTGTCCACTTTGATCTCATATACCTCAGAGTTCCCCAAATGCCCAGGTTAGAAAGAAGGTTTTTAAATATAAGCATATTCATATGATGAAGGAAAATAATTTGAAAAGAGGGAAATAAACTTTTTTTTTGGCGGGGGGAGGTTAGAAACTAATGGATGGTAACAGAAGCTGGACTTTTCAATCTGTCCTCTACTGTGAACTCTAAAAGCTGTGTGGCTGTGATCAGGTTTACACATCTGTGTCCTATTCTTGCCCCTAAACCTCCCAAAACTCCTCCCTGCCCACAAAGACCCTCAGCCTATCTCACAAAATCTCCTCCAGGAACTGATAAAAATAAACACTTCTAGCTTTCTTATCACGAAGGCTCTCCTCTCTGTTCTACGTTGGTCTCCTTGCCCTCCCCAGCACCTCCCAGGCCATCTCACACTCTGGTGCTTGGCAGCTTCCTGCTGATGTCCAGTCTGCCAAATGGTATTCAGAGTTCACCCCTTGTAGCACTTTTCCTAGGTGCTGGATCCTCAGCAGGCTATCTGGGCCCCAACACCTCACGCGGCCATACCCAGCCTCCTGGCCGCTGACCAGTCCCAGAGCTCGGGACACGCAAGCCTCCGCCTCACTCAGGCAGTTCTTCAGTCGCTGCAGCAGCTCACTGTTAGGAAACCTCCGTTCACGGGCCTCAGACTCCAGTGCCCTTAATTCTTCAAGGCCTGGAGGGACAATGATGGCAGCAAGGAGTAGGCAGTATTGAGTACACACAAAGGAAGGGGGTCAGGGGTATAGAAGAAAAGGGAATAAAACTTGCCTGTGGAGTCCCTCCTTCCCCCCATCACTCACTGCGCTTCCGCCCATCCTCCACCTCCAGGGCCACTCGTACTTTATTGGCCCAGGTGTCAAAGGACTCGGCCCGAACCTTCAGCTTATGCAGCATAGCAGGAAGCTCATCCAAGGTGTATCGATATCTGGAGGAAGAGGGCAGGGAAAAACATGTCTGGCCCAGCTCTGCATCCTCCTCCTTGCCCCTCTTCCTCCAGGCAGACCCATGCTCACCGCAGGTACTGCCGACTACTAGAGCATTTGCAGAGGTCATTGATGTGGGAAAGGCAGACAAGGCCATCTGGGCAGTCGTAGCAGGCCAGGGCTGACAGAAAGCACGTGGTCTTGCACTTGATGCACTGGCGCTCGTCATCTGGGAGCAGCTCGAAAGCCTCTCGCTCAGCCTCTGTGATGCCCTGTGGGCATTCAACCCACATGTTATACAGAACTAGAGTAGAGCAGCAGAATCCTCCATCTCAGCCACCACTGAGTCCCACTTTAGACTCAAATCTATGCGGAGGGTCATGAGGTTTGGGAGGCCAAACCCTACAGAGCACACTTGCCCTTTGTAAAGTCCAGACACTCAAAGCTGGGGGGATCAGATGAACCAGGGGCAAGATCAGTGTGGATTGAGGTAATTTTAAGGGGAAGAAAAATCAGGTGAGATTTCAGATCAGCAGAAAGGGTCTTGTGGGTAAGAAATAATGAGAAAACTGGTGAACTAAGGCATTAGAGAGATAACAATGTGTGAAAGTGGCCAAGGGACAGGCCTGGCTAGTATGGAGGGTATGTATGGGGAACAATGCTAGCTTCTAGTTCCTCAATGCCCACTGGTCCCAGGTACCATGATGGCTGCTTAGCAGGCAGGTGACACTATATGGACATATATAACTGAAAGAAATTCAACCGTATGTGTTTGTGTCCAGGGTTTAAAGATACCATTTTCCCTCAACAAATGGCTTCCAAACCTAAGCCAATGACTTCATCTGTTGCTCAGATAAGGAAAAAGCAATCCATTCCAAAAAGGAATGAAAAGTTGGCTATGTTGGAATAATCAAAGAACACCACAATACTTATACATTATGGGCAATTTTAGGAACTTTAAAGGGAAATGTTGACCACAACAGTTTTTGTCTTGCATACCAACTTTAACACCTAACCACTGCATAAGCTATGAGCCCACTACACATTACAAACCCCACTATGCCAATTATTAGCTGTGAGATCATGAGTAAATTATTTAAACCTTTCTGGGTCTCAGTTTCATTATCTTATAAAATGGAGGTAACAGTACCATCCTTACTGGGATGTTATGAGGATTAACAAAGATAAAGCAACCAAGGAATTAGACAAGTATCTTAGCACTTAAAAGTGCTCAACAAATATTTACTACTATTAGCTCTAATTTTCAGATAAGAATATGTATTTCACAGGCCTATCTCATTTTACTAAGGAGGAAACTAAGTCTCAGAGTCAGTAACTTGCCAAAGTGAAGACTTGACTGCAATTAATTTTGACTCCAAAGTCAGACAACATTCTAAGGATGAAGTCCCTGGGTTTTTTTTTGGTTTTGGGGGGAGGGGGTCATGGACTCTAAGAATTGGATGCAAACTATGAGTCCTCTTCCCAGAAAAGCACTCAAAAACACATGCAATCTCTTACAGGATTCTAAAACTAAGGTGTCTAGAATCCGTCTCTGAGGTAATGGCCAAGGGTAAAGAATTCTGAATGTCAAGATGAGAAGACCTCTTCTCCCCACCTTGCTTTGGGTCCTTCCTATAGCCTGGCATAGCCACACGGCCATCCTTTAATAACAGCACTGACAGAGAAAAGCAATGCCTAGAAAAGCCTGGAGACCCAACAAATAACACCATGACTAAGAGGCCCTAGACTTCCAACACTACTATAGCTATAGTCTTCCTATAACCCAATCACAGGATAATTATAAATGAGCTTTAAAATAAGAAAGTATTACCCTAAACAGGCAGCAAAAGATCCCTCAGGCCCAGTATTCGTTTGTAATTTTATGGAGGACTCCAAGTCAGTTCCCTAAATGAGCAAATGTAGAGCTTGAAGAAGGTGGCTGAAAGTACATGAGTGAACTTTTCAGCTCTGTAGCAATTTCCACTACTTCTACACACATAACTGACACATGCTTATGAGAAATCTATTCAAGTAGGACCACCTTCTACTTGGTAATATTATTGCCCTAGTTTGAGTTACTGAACCACCGAATGTAATAAAATGGTACTTCCTAAGGAATGTCTCATATTCCAATTAGTTTCTCTTATTTTTTTCTTTCTTTTTTAATTCAAAAGTGTCCTGCTATGTTGCACAGGCTAGTCTCGAACTCCTAGGTTCAAGGGGTTCTCCTGTCTCAGTCTCCCAAAGTGCTGGGATTATAAATGTGAGCCACTATGCCCAGCCACAATCTGTTTCTTCATGCATTAACATTACCAATAATAGCAGCTGCTACACTGCAAAGGCAATAATAGATGCTTGGGCATAAATCGTCTTACTCTAGCTTTACAATTACCTTGCAGATTAGCTATTTATTCCCAATTTTATTTTATTTATTTTTTGAGTTGGAGTCTCACTCGTCACCCAGGCTGGAATGCAGTGGCATGCTTCCAGCCACCGCAGCCTCAACCTGCTGGGCTCCGGCGATCCTTCCACCTCAGCCTTCTAAGTAGCTGGAACTACAGACGCACACTACCACACCTGGCTAGTTTTTGTGATTTATTGTAGAGATGAGGTCTCACCAAGTTGCTCAGGCTGCTCTTGAACCCACGGGCTCAGGCAATCCTCTCACCTCAGCCTCCCAAAGAGCTGAGATTACAGGCTGAGCCACTGCGCCTGGCCTTATTCCCGATTTTAGAGTGGGAAAGTGAGACTATGAGAGATCAAGTAACTTGATAAGGTCACCTAGATAATCAGAAGTAGGGGTTTCATATGCCAGTCTATCTTGCTAGGTTATTTGAGTAATGATGAGTAACTGCTACACCAGCACCTGCTTAGGGTCAGTTACTAAACAAACATTATCTTTAATCTACTGAACTATCCAAAAAGATAAGCATTATCATAATTTCATTTTTCAGATGGGAAACTAACACTCAGTGAAGTAAACTGACTTGTGCAAGGTTGCTAGAAAAGGGTATAATAGAGAGTGGAATATGGTTTTCAATCCAGATGCATCTAGTTCTTTTCAACACTCCAAAAGTAGAGACTACATCTTCTCCTTCTTGGTGCCATCTTGCCTGCCCCTACCTCCTCCAGGCTAAGGTGCCTGACCCAGAGTACTCTCCCCACCACTCACCTTCTCCAACAGGGCCTTTCGTAGACGCCGCTCCTCCTGCACCATGATGAACATCTCTTTATGCACAGCTGCTGCCAGGTTCAGGTCTAGCTTCTCTGGGCAGGCAGCCATCTTGCAAATGAGCTCTTCATGGGAGAAGACACAATATCTTCGGAGCCGGCGGTAGTGCTCAATGCATTGGCGCCCAGCAGGCAGCTGTGGACAGGTTCATGGTTGAGTGTGGCCAAGTCCTGAGGCCTGGTGGCCCAGCTTCTCTACAACCCTCCTGCTTCTCCCTGCCAGCTCACCACACTCCAGACTCACCCAATCAGCAGTGCAAAAGTTGACGGCCTCAGCAAAGTTGTAGCCTTGGTTGAAGCCACTGTGGTAAGCACGGGGGAAGGTGATGACAAATTCTCCTGCACATTGGTTTGTGCGGACAACCTGAGGAAGAACGGCGAAGGCTGTTGAGATAGAGGTTTTCCAGTTTGCAGACTTGATCTAAGTGGAGGGTTCTTTAGGAATGTCTCAGGGAACACAGCCTGACAATAGAATCCCAGACCCAGCCGGGCTCAGTGGCTCAGCCTGTAATCCCGCACCTTTGGAAGGCTGAGGTGAGTAGATTGCCTGAGCCCGCGGGTTCGAAACCCACCTGGGCAACTTGGTGAGACCTCATCTCTACAATAAATCAAAAATTAGCCAGGCGTGGTAGCGCGTGCCTGTAGTTCCAGTTACTTGGAAGGCTGAGGCGGAAGGATCGCCGGAACCCAGCAGGTCGAGGCTGCGGTGGCTGGGAGCGGCCACTGCACTCCAGCCTGGGCAACAGAGTGAGACTCCAACTCAAAAAAAAAGAATCCCAGACCCTCCAACTCTGAAAAGAATGACCTCTGGTCTCTGCTCTTGAGGTTTTGATCTGTGTTGACAGATGACAGGAAGATTTGAGAACAAAAAATGTACATATCAAATAGTCCAGCCTCTTTAGTAATTTTTATGAAAGTTATAAATACCACTTTTCATCAAGCTGGTCAAGGTTTTTTCATTAATATAGAGGGTGCCAAAAAATGCATACATATTTTAGGAAAGGAAAATACTATTAAAATTGTAATACTCATCCAAGTCACGGCACAAAAAAAACCAAAACCAAACAAATTTGTAATATTCAATAAGATGAATACAAGTCATGCTTGACCTCTGCAATTACAAGAGGTGCCCAAAGCGGTTACCATCAGCATCCAGACACTTCTAATTATGGTGAACATCTCTTAAAATATGTAAACATTTGTTGGCACCCTCTGTATTTACTTTTATCGGTCATATATGCAGTTTCAAGAATCAAATGGTTCTATAAGACTTGTTATAAGATCAACGGGTCCTGTCATTCTCCCTTCCCCAGAGCCAATCATTTCCACTTTTTCACCTCTTCTGATTATACTGGCATTGACTTATTTTAATAACCTTAAGTAACATGCTTCTAGGCTATGTTAAAAATGGCCTCCTATTTCTCAATTTGCTTAGTTTTCTAATGCATATATCCCTAACTTTTTGACAAGTGTCTAAATCTCCTTTCCTATCAATTATCACCTTTCTGTAGCAGTCTCTCATGCAGCCTTCTGATCTGTCCCATCTGGACCAGCTTTCCTTCCTGGATCATCACTCACTCTCCTGTGACAAATCTCCTGTTTCCTAGGCTCATGTCTCACGTCTTCCTCTTGGCTCATTCCTTTGCTGTGCTCAAGTACCTCCTTTAATAGTTTCCTGAGAAATGGTGTGAAGAATCTACTTTTTTTTAATGTCACTATTCTTATTCTCACACTTGACTGCATATAGAACTCTAAGATAAAAATCATTTTCAAGGCATTATCCTAGTCTTCTAGATTCCTGTGTTGCTATGAAAGTCTGAAGCCATTTTGATTTCTAATGCTTTGAACTAAATCTGTTTCTCACTTATGAAACTTATAGGATTCTTCTAGTCCCAGTGTTTAATATGGAAATTCAAAAGATGTATCTTGGTATGGATTTATTTTCATTCATGTCCTGGGTACGCCCTTTGACTCTGGAAACTCAGTTCTTCAGTTCAGGAAAATTTTCTTGAACGATTTCATTAATGATTTCATCCTTTCAGTTTTCATCCATTCTCTCTTTTCATGACTCCTATTAGTTGAACAATGAACCTCCTAGATAAATTCTCTAATTTTTTTCTATCTTTTTCCATCTTCATCTTTTTATTCTGCTTTCTGGGAGACGTCCTCAACAATTTATCTTCTAAGTTTTTGTTTTTGTTTTTAGCTTTTCACTTTTGCTATCATAATTTCAATCTCTAAGGGCTCAGTATATATATATATTTTTTTTTTTGAGTTGGAGTCTCACTCTGTCACCCAGGCTGGAGTGCAGTGGCCACTCCCAGCCACCGCAGCCTCCACCTGCTGGGCTCTGGCGATCCTTCCGCCTCAGCCTTCCAAGTAGCTGGAACTACAGGCGCGCGCTACCACGCCCGGCTAATTTTTGATTTATTGTAGAGATGAGGTCTCGCTAAGTTGCCCAGGCGGGTCTCAAACCCATGGGCCCAGGCAATCCACTCACCTCAGCTTCCCAAAGGCGCAGGATTACAGGCTGAGCCACCAAGCCCGGCTAGTATATTATTTTTTAATACTATCCTGCTCTTTTCATGTTTGCAGTATATGCTTATTTCTGAATATGTTAATAAAGTTTCTTTTCCTTTTCTTTTTAAGTTTATTTCTCCCTGCTTAGCCTCTGCTTCTCCAAGTTGTTTTCTTTCTGTTTGGTTCTATTTTGTTTTCCAGGGTCTTCAGTTGTCTGTTAACCTGCGGCTATCTGCTTATATTTAAGAGAAAGAGACCAAAAAGTTGAACGGAAGCTCAGAGTACATAAACTAAGCTTGCAACAGTGAGCTTCAGCCGGGCTCAGTGGCTCAGCCTGTAATCCCACGCTTTGGGAGGCTGAGGTGAGTGGATTGCCTGAGCCCGCGGGTTCGAGACCCACCTGGGCAACTTGGCAAGACCTCATCTCTACAATAAATCAAAAAATTAGTTGGGTGTGGTAGCGCGCGCCTGTAGTTCCAGCCTCTTGGAAGGCTGAGGCAGAAGGATTGCCTGAGCCCAGCAGGTCGAGGCTGTGGTGGCCGGGAGCATGCCACTGCATTCCAGTCTGGGAGACACAATGAGACTCCAACTCAAAAAAACCCAAAAAAACAAAAAGCAGTGAGCTTCACTGTAGAGTAATCTACCTGAGTCATTTAATTTGGGGAAGTCTAGATCTTTCCTCTCAGGCCAGTTAGTTTTCCCAGAGAAACCCCCCCCTATTTTTGACTTTAGGAAAATAAGTCTGGCTGCCAGTGTTCTAACAGCCAAGCAGAAGATGGCTGGGAACCTCAGCATCCAATATGATAAATCCTATTACTTTCATTAAAATTCTACCCTCAGCTAGTACCGGAGACCTCAATCCAGAGACTCTCTGGTTGAACCTCTTCAGAAACAAATCTTCAGTCTTTTACTAGAGAGGAAGATTCACATTTCCTGCTGCCCAGCACAGGAGGGGCTCTCACAGCTTTTTACAGAGACACAGACCAATCCTTAATTTCACCCCATCCATTTTTATCCCCAAATTGCCTGATGCCACTGGCTACAAACCTTTGGGGGATTCTGAGGAACAAATCAGGTTGATTCTCAGATGTTCTCAGTACAGGCTTTATTATTTATTTATTTATTTTAGTTGGAGTCTCACTCTTTTGCCCAGAGTGGAAAGCAGTGGCATGCTCACAGTCACCTCAGCCTCGACGTGCTGGGCTCAGACGATTATTCCACCTCAGGCTTCCAAGTAGTCAGTAAAGGCTTAAAGACGGTTTTCGTATCTATCAGTTTTCTAGTTCCAAGAATTTTATTTATTTTTGTCTCCTCTCCTGTTTTCTCCATCTCTGTGATTTTCTTTTTTTTTTTTTACCTTTAAAAAAAAAAAACCCTAACCGGGCTCGGTGGCTCAGCCTGAAATCCCAGCACTTTGGGAGGCTGAGGTGAGTGGACTGCCTGAGCCCGCAGGTTCGAGACCCACCTGGGCAACTTGGCAAGACCTCATCTCTACAATAAATCAAAAAAAATTAGCTGGGTGTGGTAGCGCGTGCCTATAGTTCCGGCTACTTGGAAGGCTGAGGCAGAAGGATTGCCAGAGCCCAGCATGTCGAGACTGCAGTGGTCGGGAGTGGCCACTGCACTCCAGTCTGGGTGGTGGAGTGAGACTCCAACTCAAAAAAAAAAAAAAAGAAAAAAGAAAAACCCTTTGTGTCATTTTAGTGGGGTTTCAGTACAGAATGAAAGTAGTCATGTGTATGCTTCATTTGTTATCTTTACCAAGAATCCACAAACCTTTCTAAGATAAATTTTCAATGCTGAAGACACGAAGTAGGTACAGTGCTGGCAAAAAAAAATTAATAAATTATACTCCCTGGAAAGCAAGTTTGCTAATATGTATCAAGAACCTAAAATGTTTATACCCTTCAACCCAATGATTCCTCTGCTAGAAGTCTAAATTAATTTGGGGGAAATTAACATCCTAACAATATTAACTCTTCCCATTCATGAAAATATCTCCACATTTATTCGGGTCATGCATCAGCTCCCATGCCCAGCATTCTTCTTTCTTCTCAAATTTACCTCTACTTAGAAGCAGCATCAGCATTTGTTGCCTGTATTATTGCACTGTCCTCCATTACTAACCACCAAAATTATCTTCCAAAAAATGCAAATCTTGACCATGTTTGCTGAGAGACCTTCACTGAAATCCCCATGCCCATACGATAAAGCCACAGATTTGATAGGCAAACTTCTTCTTCTTTCAAGTGTCACTGCTTCTACAAACCCCTTCCTACACCTCTTTCCTAAATGACCCAGTTTATTGTTCTTTTGTAACGGTTCTAATACTTTATTCTACTTGTTTATTCCTCTATGTCCTCCGCTCAACTGTGTATACCCAAAGACAGGGACTGGCTTATTTATCAAGGTGTTGACCACAGGCCTTGCGCACAGAACAAACTTTAGCAACATTTACTGAATGATCTAATCCCAACCTTAATTTTTATGCACTTTTTTTTTTTTTGAGAGACAGGGTCTTGCTATGCCAGCCTTAATTTTATAGATGTATAAACTAAGTCCCAGAGAAGCTTCAGGTAGCAGAGCCAAGAGCAGAAGAACCTAATTCTCCTGACTCTTCATCTCAACTTGTATCCTCATTTTGGCAATATAACTTTATTGTTTCCTATGTGGCTATTTAGAAAATCTCTCCTCACATTCTGCAGCTGTTAAAAATAACAATTGTGAATAGTCAAAAAAAAAAAAACAACAACTCAATGTTCATCAGCTGGTGAACTGAATCTTATTGGGCCATAAAAGGAATGAAGTGCTGACACATACTGTAACATGGATGAACCTTGAAAACATGCCAAGTTTGTGAGGATACTAGCTTTATTAGAAAAACATGCTAAGTGAGAGAAGCAAGACACATTCCATTTTTATGAACTGTCTGCAAATCTACAGACAGAAAGTAGATGAATGGTTGCCTAGGACTAGGGGCTGAAATGGAGAATGACTCCAAATAGGTATAAGGGATCTTTCTGGGGTGATTGAAACTGAATTGTGGTAAAGGTAGCACAACTCTGTAAATTTACTGAATTGTGTACTTTAGGTGAATTTTATAGTATGTACATCATACGGCCATAAAGCTATATTTTTTAAATGATGGTTATATTTTATAGTAATGAAGTAAAAATCATTCTAGACCAGTGCTGTCCAAGAGAAATATTCTAGGCACATATGTACTTTTAAATTCCTTAAAAAAGTAAAAAGAAGCAGGTAAAATTAATTTCAATATATTTTATTTAACTTACTATATCCACAATATTATCACTTTAATGTGTAATTTGTATACAAAAGTCTTAAGTGAGATAATTTACATTTTTCGTTTCATACTAAGTCTTGAAATCCAGTATGTATTTTATAATTTTAGCACATTTCAGTGCTCAAGAGCCACATGTGGCTAATGGGTACCACATTGGACAGTGCAGTTCTAAATCATTAAATGTACAAAAAAGACTATAAAAACCATACACTGATTATTGCTACATCCAATTTTACACAGAAAAACAACAGATGAAAACAACAATGTTTAGATGTTTAGGGTAGACGGAATAGGAATGATCTCTCTATTTTCCATTGTTTGGAAAGGAAGTATGTTTCTTTGTTAATGAAAATAATATTTATGCTAAATATCTATAAAAAGAAATGGCTTTCTCCCACCAAAGGGGAAGGGGGGCAAGGAGCTAAAGATAGCTCTGGAGGAAGCTCCAGCTGGCTAAACCACAGCTTGCCAGCAGGAGAACATGAAAATCACAGATGCTATGGATTGAGGGGATACTGCCAAGTCCAAAGGACCTGGAGATAGTGGGAACTACCTACAGGAAGAATAGGTCACACAAAGGGCTGATGGTGAAATAGCAGCTGGCCAGGGAAGCTGGTGAGCCATGAGTAAGAGAAATACTATGGAGGTGGGAACAAAAAAGCATGTTTAAGAGTCTGTGATAAAAGTTTTTTTAAAGCCGGGCTCAGTGGCTCAGCCTGCAATCCCGCGCTTTGGGAGGCCGAGGTGAGTGGACTGCCTGAGCCTGCAGGTTCAAGACCCGCCTGTGCAACTTGGCGAGACCTCATCTCTACAATAAATCAAAAAATTAGCCGGGCGTGGTAGCGCGCGCCTGTAGTTCCGGCTACTCGGAAGGCTGAGGCAGAAGGATCGCTGGAGCCCAGCAGGTCGAGGCTGCGGTGGCCAGGAGCGGCCACTGCACTCCAGTCTGGGCGACAGAGTGAGACTCCAACTCAAAAAAAAAAAAAAAGTTTTTTTAAAAAGAGGTAAGGACGGAACAGCTCCATAACCTTCTACGTGTGTACACACACACACACGCACACACAAACACACACACACCCCTTAGCTGCCTGAATCCTTAAGAGAATTCTCTTTTACTCTTATAGTTTTCCTTGGCATTACAGACAAGGACTGATGCTGTGCTATGGGTCAGGAAGAAAGAAGTCTGAGGAAAGTCAGACTCAATGTCTACTTGTGAAGTAGAAAACTGGAAGAGCCCTTGATCATCTCGAGTCCAGTAATCCTTAAATGCATTGAGGTAGGAGAGAAAAAGATGGCCTCCCTGAGTGGAGGAAGGTTGCCTGAACTGTTGTAGCATGCCTCCCTCTGTCCAATTCCCCTAGATACCCAATCCTTGGTTAAATATCACTAAAGTGTACAATAAAAAATATTACTCAAAGGGCATATAGTATATCAAAACAAGGTGATGGCAAAAAGAAATCTGGTGAAAACCACTGACTAGTCCAAAGCCCTACTGTACAGATGTACAGGGATATCTCAAGGAGACATTAATTTAGTATTTACTGACTATCCCATGCATTAGAGAAAGTGGTAGTGTGGCCAAGGCCAGAAGGAGTAGAAGAGAGTAGGAAGGAGGAATAGCATAGAATAAGATGCAAAGCAGAGACGAAGAATCCACCAATTCCTGTTCCTACAGGGATGTTGTTCAAGCTATTTTAAGATCCACACCAGAAAAGTGGCTGATGCTAATCAGTGCTAGAAATTCCCAGGAATATCAAGGCCCTTAGAGGTAAACCAGGTTGTACACCCAGCAAAATATTTTAAAGGGTGGGAGAGAAGTACAGAGGAGGATAAACCAGGACTCTGGGTTCAAATTTTGACCTGTTAAATAAGTAAAAAGAAATATCCATTGCTCCAAGAAGAGTAACAGTATGCAAAGTATGGCAGAGACTGCTAGTTGTACCAATATTCATGCTTGTCTTCTGTCACAATAACATGACCTCCAATTCATAGGTGGTCATGATCATCCAGAATAAGAATTACCTTTCCCAGTTTCCCTTATAGCTAGATGTGATCATGTGACCAAATTCCCACTAACAGATGAATGGAAATTATCTGTGCCCTTAAAAGGAGACTTGTCTAGCCCTGCCCTTCCCCATTTCCCTCTTCCACTGGCTGGAATGTTGATGTGCTATTAAGCCATCGCTAAGGTGTTACCTTCAAATGCATGGCCCAGAGTGTGTAACATCACATTATATATCTAACCACTATTATTTGGGGTCTCTATTAAAGCAGTCAAACCTGTAGCCCCATTAAGACAGAATAGGAAAAAAAGGATAGGGGTATATTCTAGACAACCACCACCATCACTACCACCACAAAGAACATCACTAAATAATTCCTACCCCTTGTCCCTGTTTCCTGGGCACTCACCGGCACACCATGGGACATTAGGGTGTTGGGATTCATGAGGGTAACGAGTTGGTGCAGGAGGTCAGGCTGGCTATCAAAAAGCTCAGGTGTCAGCTTCTTCATCACCTCTTCCAAATGTTCTGCTGCAAGTGAAGGTACTCCATACCAGGTCTTCGGCTCACCCCTGTGCAAGTGGAAAGGAGACACATAGAGTGGTCACACCTTAGTCATTCAGGGAGCCACCATGACTGCCTGCCTGGCTCCTCAGGGTCCCACTCACCAGTGGAGGTAGTTAATGGAGTAACTCCAGTGGTCCTCAATGTGCCAGCAAAAGGCTGAGAAGACCATGCCCACATAAAGCCAGGGCACCTTCATACCAGAGATATCTGCATTGATGTGGCAGAGTACTGACTGCTCCAACACTGGCATCACATTCAAGTTCCAACCGCTGGTAGCATACTCCTGCCAGGTCAGGTATTTGTAAAAGGAAATATGAGTTATGCTAAGGAACCGAGAAGAGATCTTATGTCATTTGTTTTAGCGTAGGGAGCCTCAATTTTGAGAGGTTTTTTTTGAAGCATCTAAGAAATATACAGGTTTTCTCCCTCCCCTCCACTAAAACTCATATACATAAAATTTCAATTCACTTCAATTTCGGGGAGGTTTACAGATATATCTATCCACCAAAATACCTGCAAGTTAAAAACCCCTGCTCTGCTAGGCTCGGTGGCTCAGCCTGTAATCCCGTGCTTTGGGAGGCCGAGGTGAGTGAATTGCCTGAGCCCGCAGGTTCGAGACCCGCCTGGACAACTTGGCGAGACCTCATCTCTACAATAAATCAAAAAATTAGCCGGGCGTGGTAGCGCATGCCTATAATTCCGGCTACTTGGAAGGCTGAGGCGGAAGGATCGCCGGAGCCCAGCAGGTCGAGGCTGCGGTGGCCGGGAGCGGCCACTGCACTCCAGTCTTGGCAACTGAGTGAGACTCCAACTCAAAAAAAACAAAACAAAACAAAAAAAAAAACTGCTCCAAACCAAAACATACCCTTCCCTTGAGGCAGGACTGGGCCCTCATTTTTTTCCTGTCCATACAAATCCCACTTCCTGAATACTTTTTTGAATGAGCCAGGCACCCTGCCAGGTTATTTCATATACCTTCTCATTTAATTCTTATATCAAATTTGCAAGGCAGGTATTATCCCCATTTTATAGATAAGGAAATGGGCTTAGAGGGGAAAGAACCCATCTCATGTCTGCACAAGCCAGGTACTAGGCTGTGTCCTTTACATGCATCGTTTCATCTAAATATCACAGCAATAGCTTAAGGCAGGCATAATTATCCCCATCTTACAGATACTGAATCTTTCAGATACTAAATGACTTGCCTAAGCTCACACAGCTGACATATAACCATGAATCATCCACTCACCTCCTCCTCAGGGGTTAGGTGCCGCTTACTGTCACTGACAGGGAAACCGCTGCCGAATTCTTTGGAATGAATGTCAGCCCCATACTCAACAGTCACATCCTCCTCAATGCTATTCACCAGCCGCCAGAACTCCTTCTCTACGAGTTCTGTGGGCACCATCTGGGGAAAATGGGGTAGCAGATGGCCATGGTCCACCATACCCCAACCCCACTGACCATAGTGAGCTAAAACCATCAGGCACCAACACCTTCGACCTTAGCCCCAATACTACCCCAGCTATCCATAACCTACATGCACAGGCATGTTGAAGTAGTCGGCTTTAAAGGAGTCAGCCATCTCGCCAAAGCTCTGCAGAGTGTATTCCCGGGTAGCCTGCTCAAAGCCAAAGGCTTCAGGGGGCCGCTTACACTCCTGAAACCCAAAGGAGAACATGTCACCAAGACAGAGGCAAAGAGGTAAAGAATCCTCACAAGTGGAACAGGATTATGAGGTAGGAGGAGGGAAGAAGACAGCCCTAAGGCTGCATTCAAGACCCATTAGGTAGACCTTTATAGTTCTACCTTTTTCTCTTACCACTTCAGCTTAGTCTTTTCATTCCCCACATGCACCTCCACCATGCTTTTGCTCATAGTTCCTCCCTATTGGTATGTCCTCTCCCACTTTCTTTCCCTGATTCTTCAAAACCCAACTTCAGTCCCACAGCCTTCAGGAAGTCCTCCTCCATACTACAGCCCATGCGCTTTTCTTCCCTCAGGACTTTAAACCATGGGCTCTGACTTTAACGTGCTATCCTATGCTTTTCTGTCACCTTTTTTTCTCTCTCTCTCTCTAGCTAAAATGTATACAGGGTGCTTAGAGAAGCTTTTTAATCCCCAGACTAGTACTATAAGCCTTGGAAAATGGGTCTGAATAATATGGCTTCTACTGTGTCACACTATTCCTGTTCTGTCTCAGAAGACAGGACATGGGTCTACCTCACTTTATACCTATGATCGTGGTTTTAGATGAGAACCCTATGTACCCCAGTCAGACACACACTTTTCTCATGTCTGAAAAATAAATGTCAGTCTGGTCCACTGGCTCACAGCCACTTAGAGAAGAGAGCCAAATAGAGCTGAGTTTTCCTCATCCATGATCCTGTTGGTGTCCAAATTCCTCCCTACTAGAATGTCTACCACTACCAAGGCCATCACACACTGTGTGTATGTATATCTGCATGTACACACCTGGTCTCTACAACCACAGCTGAGTCCCTAAGATTAGGCAAGAGACCATCAATGTCGGCTCTCCTGCAACCCAGAGGGAAATGCAGAAGATGAACACCAAGAATTTGGACGACGATAGGAAGTTCATAAATGTACTTGCCTGACTTCCTGGTCTAAGCAGCCCTTACTGCTGCTTCAGCTCCTCTCCTTACTGCCTTTACCTACACTAGGCATGCTGTCTCCCTATATCCTCTGGTCTTGCTAGTCCTCCACCCCCAAGTCTGGAACACCTACCCACCTCTTCAGTTAAGGCCTACATCATACCTGCATAATGAACATTTGTATACCTACCCCTGAATTGTACCCCACATCTTTAAAATTAAAAATTTTTTTTTAAAAAGTAGAACAATAAAAATAGTAAAATCACTCTGAAAAAAAAAAAAGCCTACATCATTGCCCCAATCTAAATATAACAGAGGAAAACAATAAATATCATAATCACATGATAGATCACCTAAAAAAATTTTTTTAAATCATGCCTTGAGCGAATTTAATACAGAAAAATGATTATGGGCCGGGTGCGGTGGCTCATACCTATAATCTCAGCACTCTGGGAGGCCGAAGTGAGAAGAATGCCTGAGCCCACGGGTTCGAGACCAGCCTGGGCAACTTGGTGAGACCTCACCTCTACAATAAATCAAAAAATTAGCCGGGCGTGGTGTCATGTGCCTATAGTTCCAGCTACTTGGAAGGCTGAGGCTGAAGGATCACCTGAGCCCAGCCGGTCGAGGCTGTGGGGGCCATGAGCATGCCACTATACTCCAGCCTGGGCAACAGAGTGACACTCCAACATAAAAAAAAAAGAAAGAAAGAAAGAAAAATGATTACCAAGTAACAAATGAAAATATGTAACAAGAGGCCAAACTTGTTAAAGATAGTTACATCTAGGCCACGCATGGTGGCTCAGGCTTGTAATCCCAGCACTTTGGGAGGCCAAGGTGAGAGGATTGCGTGAGTCCAGGGGTTCGAGACCAGCCTGGGCAACTTGGTGAGACCTCATCTCTACAATAAATCAAAAAATTAACTGGGTGTGGTGGCTTGCACCTGTAGTTCTGGCTACTTGGAAGGCTGAGGCAGAAGAATTGCCTGAGTCCGGTCGAGGCTGCAGTGGCAGTGAGCGTGCCCCTGTACTCCAGCCTGGGCAACAGAGTGAGACTGACTCAAAAAAAAAAAAAAGATTAAAAATATATCAGGTTGGCCGGGCTTGGTGGCTCAGCCCGTAATCCCAGTACTTTGGGAGGCCAAGGCAAATGGATTGTCTGAGCCCATGGGTTTGAGACCAGCCCAGGCAATTTGGCAAGACCTTGTCTCTACAATAAATCAAAAAACTTAGCTGGGTGTGGTAGCACGCACTTATAGTTCGGCTACTTAGAAGGCTGAGGCGGAAGGATCACCGGAGCCCAGCAGGTTGAGGCTGCAGTGGCCGAGAGGCGTGCTATTGCCCTCCAGGCTGGGAAACAGAATGAGACTCCAACTCAAAACATATATATCAGGTTATTAACAATGGTTATCTCTAGGTGGTGGGATGATAGGTAATTTGTCTATTTCCCAATCTTCCTTAGAAAACAAAACAATCCAAGAATAAATGCCTGGAAATCAAAAGAACATCTTTTTCCTTAATATTCCTATCCTTCAAATCTCATTCTAGACAGCTTCCCTGATTAACTGCCCTTAATCATTTTCCTCTCCTCTGAACTTCTAAACCCAGAGATTTTAACACACAATTTAGCATCTGCTTATGTCACCACATACAATCTAATTGTGACTCTTACCTCCCCAGGTGGTCTAGGAGCCCTCATAGGACAGAAGCAAAGGCTGAGGAGTCTCCTGCTCCTCTTTCTCCCAAAGCTCTGCCCATCCTGGCCCCACTCCAGGAACTCAAAACATAAGACTGTGGCTGAACTAGCAGGCTGCCAGATCAACATGGCGAGATGAAAGAAGGCAAAGACACCCTATGAGGCATATGTGGACTGGGGCCGGGGAGGCCTTACCGCCATGACACACTTTGGGCACCGCCAGACACCCTTCGGGATTTCAGGCAGAGGAGGCAGCAGGCAGAAGATGTGGTAATTGTCATCACAGCCATCACACAGCAGAAGCTTATCATCCTCATCCCCTCGGGAACACATCCGGCATACATATGACTCAATCTGCCAGGAAAGGGAAACAAAAGTTCATCAACCTAAGCCCTGTCCAGCCCTCAAACATCAAACTCCTCTAGATAGTACCCTAATCCAGAAAGCTCTCCATTGGAAACCTGCTGTGCTTGCTGGCTGAATCACTCATGGCCTTGTATAGTCTAGTCATACTAGGTCTGGAGATCAACTGCGTGCATGTATCATCTCCCCATATAAGCAGGTAAAGCTATGAGAACAGTCTTTATCATTCACTCTTGATTCCTCCCATTTTTATTCATTCAATAAACACTTACTGAACTCCCATGTTCAGCATTATGCTGGACTCCGTAGTACAAAGATGAGTGACACGTAGTATCTGCCTGCCAAGGGCATACAGTACTCTAGGAATACATGTTCATAAAAATTTAAAACTGCCAATAGCAACCTATAAAGGGTACTGTGGGAGCCTAGAGAAGGAAGCACTCAAAGCAGCTGGAGATAAGGAGAGATGGCCTTGAAAAAGGGCCTCATTGAGAAGGGTGACACTTGAAACGGGCTGAAACCTGAAGGGAAACTGAAGCTTGGAAATGTGGCATAGCAAGCAGGAAACTTCCAGGCCAAAGAAACAGCATGTACAAAGGATGGGGATGAAAGAGCATGGCACATCTCAGGGAAAAAATGAACATACCTACAAGTAGAGTTCAGTGGAGCTATAGCAGCGGAGTGAGGTGGGCAGTGCTGGGGAATAAGGCTAGAGGTCAGCAGGGACTGGATCATGCATGATAATGAGGAGCTTAGCCTTTATCCTGAAGCAATGGAGAATAAGTCTCCTTCTCTGGACCCTTCCAGCTCTTCATGTTGACAGCACTCGATCACCCTTGTTCTTTTGCTCCATGTGAGTTGGCCTTGTTTCCCCAATTACGTGAGCTACCTGAGGGCAGGGTCCACCAGGCCCACTTTTTTAATGCAGCCTGATCCAGTGCCATGCTTGGAAAATGCTCGTTGAAGGGATAAGAAGCAGAGCGTTAACAAGTCAGAGCTGGGTCCTTACAAACTGAGCATTGCTGTGGTTCCTCCGCAGCCTCATGGTCATCTTGGTGCAGGGCTCTGGGCTGTGACTCAGCTCCTCCTTGCTCTCCAAGAAGGTCTTAGGCGAGGTTGACTCCACCTTCACATCCCCAACTAACTCCTCCTTTACCACTACGGTAGGGGGACACTCAGGCCCTTCCTTATCTGGGAGAGAGAAAAGTAGCTATAAATACAGGTCTAGGACACACAGGGCCCTGCCTCCTCTCCCCAGGTGAGGCCATCCCCAGCTTGTTAGACCTCACCTTTCTTCCGCAGAGTCTTATCCTTAGCCATAAGCCCCAGGCCCATCATCTTGGGGCCTGCCCCATAGATCTGTAGCTTCTTCAGCTCCGGATTCTTTTCAATGTCTTCCTCTGTAGGTTCCGGCTGCGACGAAAGAAGTAAATGAATCAAGACCACTACATGGGGCAGAGTGCTCCATACTAAAAGAACAATAGCTCAGATTATGTATCACCTGAGCTCATGCCAAGTTGGGTCAAGGCAAAAATTCAGAGTTGTACTGTGGAGACTAAGGATAAATGAGCTCCCTCCTCAGCCCTCTCTTGGAAAGGAATTAAAGATGGGATCTCAGTTTTCCCAACTGTAAAATAAGAATATTAAACTCATACCTTACAGTTATGAGGGGTTTAGGGATAACATATATGAAAAAATTAAGTGTTTGGCATTACCTGTAAATGGTAATGACTAATAGTATCTGTTAAACTATATGCTTCAATGAGCCCAGGGACATTGTCTATCTTGTTCTCTGTTATATTCCAAGTGCCAAGAAGAATGCCTGGTACATAAGCTTCTGCCTGAAGATAAGATACAGGTATAAAAAGCCAGGCATGGTGGTGCACACCTATAGTCCAGTTATTCAGGAGGCTGAGCAGGAGGATCACTTGAGCCCAGGAGTTCAATGTTATAGTGTAATATGATAGTCACTGCACTCCAGCCTGGGCACCATAATGAAACTCCATTTCTGGAAGGGAGGGAGGGAGGGAGGGAGGAAGGAAAGATATAGATATAAAGAGAAAGAAGAGTTGTACCTCTATGAGCAGAGTGACTCAGGAAAGGAACAAAATAGGCAAGAAGGGCAAACATGCAAAAGAGACTGTACAAAGAGATCAAGACCAAGCTTAGCAGCTCAGCCAAGAGTGGAGGAAAAAAGCAAGAGTGAAGCCAGAGAGAGGCACACTAATGCTCAGAAGAACTCAGAGAACAACAAAAGGGATAGTGGCAGAGGGAACATAGTGTTGGTCAGAGGGAGGGAGAGGACTCTCTCTACCTCAAAGCTCTAAGTTAGAAGAAGGAAAGTACTCACATCAGGCTGCAGTCTCTTGGCCCGCCGGCCATAGCTGTTGAATTTGGAAGGCTGCACAGACTGTCGAAGGGGGATGCTGTGGGGTTTGTATTCTTTGTCCTTCTCCTCATTATCAAATGGACGAGTGTTACACTGCTGGAGAGAGATAAGGGGTAAGGGTCAGGGCATAGGGAACCAGACCCCCAAAACAAGAACTTTCCTTTACCCTCACTCAATGGCAACCAAAGTTTTAGCCACCCACCTGACCCAACCAATAGTCCCTATTCAACTGGTCTTTATCATTGACCCTGGGACAAACTTTGAGAATTCTTCTCAGTCCTTGCTTATGTCACTCCTCATTCCAGCTGCCTCCCCCAAACTAAATCAGACTCTATCTCTTCCCAAACCTCTCTAGCCCCAAAGACCTCTCCCTTCTCTGAATTTCCCTATCAATTAAAACTTTGTTACATAACAGACAGTAGGCTGATCCTACAGATAACTCCAGGACCTCTGACCCCAGGCATGTAGGAAGAAAATAAGCATCACTAGGAAAAAGTGGAGTCTAGCTCCCAGGTCTCCAGTCCACTAAGCCAGTTCCATAAGAGTAAGTGTGGAAATCTGTGTCTGGGGATAAAGCCTCACACCACCCCAGCCTAGCATCCTTACCACAAGGTTGGCTCCTGACTGGTACATCTCATAGGGGTAAACAATGCGTTCATAGTGGGAGCGTAGCAAGGAGCCAATGTTTTTGCCTGGCGGGTAGTTGAGGCGCTGGGCCACCCGAGCCCACCGACGGTCCTTGCAGATGGCTTCATAACCACCTTCCTCCACCACAATCTGAAAGAACAAGCAAGAAGGAACATGGATGTGCTGTATGTATGTGGATGTGCTGTACGTATGTACATGAGGAAGCAGGCCTGTAGAAAGGGCAAAAGGGCAATGAGGACAACTTCAATCCCTCACTTCACTGAGGGCTACCACTTTCTCCCAACCTCAAATTGCAACAAGAAATGCCAAGATGTTCTGATGACAGCTTGTATACTAGCAGGCGGTGCCCCTTCCATTGCAGCTTAGAGATCCAATATCCACACCGAAGGGGCCCCCAGAATACCAAGACTATGAGGGCAAGGTGGGGAGTGTTTGAAAAAAACCTGTTCTTACTTTGCTGAGACTGTAGAGGTCCAAGATCCGCCGTTCTACATTGGGAATCTTTAAGGAGGAGCCCTGGATTTCCCAGAATTTGGCAATCTGGTCCAAGTAGTTCAGTTTCACTCTCGTCTGGGCCTGAAGAAGAAATGGCTCAAAGAGGCTGGCCACCCCCTCCCCCTGACCACTATCTTTTGGCCTAATCTTAGGGGAGAAGAGAGAGAATAGAGCAGCTCACGTATACTACCCAGGTCTTCTCCCAATGTACCATATCCCAGACTCTAGGCAATGCTTAGCCAAGCCACACCTCTCTCTCATCTGTCACCTTCTAGTCAATCAGAGAAGCCCAAGGTCCCCAAAAGAGAGGGTCACGATAGCTAAGGCTTTACATACTTACTCTCTCAGTCTCCCTGACAGGGCTATGTGTGTATTATCATCTTTTGTACAGATGAGGAAACAAAGGCTCAGAGGAGTTAGGTCACACAGTAAGCACCAAGATATCTGAGTATCAAATAAGTGAAGTTCTAATTTTCCCTTTGCTACAAATTTGCTATATAGCCTTGAGCAAATCAGCTCCACTCTCTGGACAACCCCATTTTTTATTATAAAAGGAAAATAAGGCCGGGCTCGGTGGCTCAGTCTGTAATCTCAGCATTTTGGGAGGCTGAGGTGGGTGGAAGCCCATGGGTTTGAGACCGGCCCGGGCAGCTTGGCGAGACCTCATCTCTACAATAAAGCAAAACTAGCCGGGGATGGTAGTGCGTGCCTGTGGTTCCGGCTACTTGGAAAGCTGAGGCGGAAGGATAGCCAGAGCCCAGGAGGTTGAGGCTGTAGTGGCTGGGAGCATGCCACTGCACTCCAGTCTGGGTGACAGAGTGAGACTCCAACTCAAAAAAAAAAAAAGGAAAATAAAATAATTGCACAGTTCACTTATCCAGAGAGGCAGACTTAATGAGGGGACCAGTGAAGGCCCTCTGGAAACTTCAGAATTTTATCTAAGTTCTAGGCATGTTTCAGAAAATGAAGGTTCCAAAAAAGCACATGCACCTCCTTATGTACTTATGACACTTGTTCTATGGTAGCCAAAGGGTGAAAGTGCATACTATAGATGGAGTAGCCTAAATAACTAAGAGATGGTATACCAAAGCAGCATGTGCACCTGGTCAACCCATATTCAGGATCTTACCCAACGTGGGCCAAAGATCCTAGGAACAAGACATGTAATTTACCGTGCTTCCCTGAAATCTCAGGGACCCAAGAAGGGCTCCCAAAGGTCCCAAGTCTACAATCTCCTCATTCTAGTCAGAGAGTCTGGTTCTAGGGAAAACTAGGTGGTCATTACCATTCACTACCTTGCCCTGATCCTATTAGGGGGAACAAAGACAATTCTTTCTGTTTCACAGTTGAAAAACACTAAGGTCTATTCGTGGAAAGAAATGACGACCTATGGCTCCTTGGCCATGAGAACCCTCAAGGGGCCAGGGACACTACTCCCTTGACCTCAACCCCTTAGCTTTTTAATCTTGGCCTCATCCTTACTCCTTCCCTCATTAGCTAGCCTCATGCTAGGCAACACCTTGCCCTAGCTATACCCACACAGACCTGGTCCAATATGTTTCTCTGAGGAAGGTGTGCCTCCTATAAGAGATGACTCTTGCCCTGACCAGAACAGCCCCTAGACTGAGTCTAGAACAGTAGTTCTCAATGAGGGGTGATTTTGTCTCCCAGGGAATACTTGCAATGTCTGGAGACATTTTTGGTTGTCATACTGGGAGAAGGTACTACTGGCATGTAATAGGTAGACATCACGGATGCCAATACACATCCTACAGTGCACAGGACTGTAGGTAGCACACGTAGATCCCCCTTGACAAAAAATTATCTGGCCCAAAATGTCAATAGTGCTAAGGCTGAGGAATTCTGGTCTAGAAGACAAGCAAGCTTTTAGGTTATGGGTACTCAGCTGGACCTAATCCACCCCTGTCCCAAGACATCTAGTAAGACTTGTGGATACATTATAATGGGGGAGGGATGGCAGCATATGTCTAACCTACATCTTCCACATAAAACTCCAGGATCTTGCCTGGAACTGGCTTTGGGATACCCACTCTCATTACCCCCAGAGCATTCTCAAGCCATTAGTGGAGAACCCCACCTGTCCATGCAAAGGACCTGGACTTCCTGTACAGAACAAAAGAGAGAAGGAAAGGCCTACCTGCTCAATCCCCTGTCCAAGTCTATAACCATTTCAATCTCCACACAGATCAGTTCTTGTGTTGTTCCGCCCATCTACCTCACCTACCACCTTATCAAGCACCATGGAAGGAAGACAGGAAGCACAGGGCTGTGGATGAATTGGATATGAGGCCATATTCAGCTGGCCAAGGAAGAAAGGGTCTTAGCCCCTATTTCCCTTTTGTTGATCAGATAGGGTAGGTTAGTTGGGAAGGGTCTTAGTCCCTATTTCCCTTTTGTTGATCAGATAGGGTAGGTTAGGGAAGCTTCAGAAGTAGCAAACCTTTGTGGGAAGGGGACATCCCCAGCCTCTGAACTATCAAATCCGAAATGCCAAACTCTCCTTCTTGGTTAGACTTAGAGCTGTAAAGCTTTTTCTGTGTCCTGGGTACACTAACAAGATGCAATTTCACAGAAGAGAGGATAAAGGCCTCTAGTTAGGAAAAGTACCTTAACCAGAGAAGTGTGAGGGAAGTGAGATCAGAGCTCAGATATCTATTCTCCCAAACCCACCACCAGCTGCTAGTCTTCTCACCTCTAACTCATTCAGTCTCTGGATTCGAGGGGTAAACCTGAAGTTGTCCACTTCCACAGCAAAGGGTGGCTGCCAGTCCTGAGAGGGTAGAAAGGGGAAAGGGACTTGGGTTATCTCAACATAGTACAAGACCAGAGGGTACCAAAAGCAGCTCAGAACCCCATTCACTCTTTCCCAGACCTCTAGCCACCCCAAACCCTCTAACCTGGCAAACAAACAGTACACCCACCCCATGTCTCCCCAGAACTCACAACAGGGCCTAACAGGCCCTCAAGTCTACATCCAAGGCTCCATGCACATGCCCTGGGAAGCATCTCTTGAGTCCCTCCCAACAGTACAGTGTCAGGATTTCAAGAAATAGAAAGATAGAGCCCAAAACAGTTGATCCGAAACCTTCTCCACACCCACATTAACTCCCTGTCCCCTAGGCATGTGCTGTAGAACACAGTCTAGGAGTACTGGAAAGCAAACAGGATCTGGAGTCAGAAGACCTGGGTTCATGTTCTAGCTCCACCACTTACTAGCTATGGGATCTTACCTTTCTGAACCTGTTTTCTCATCTTTAAGGTAAGGAATATGATCTCTAACTCTGGCTTCCTCACAAGACCCATATGGAAAATTAAACTGGTTTTCAAAAGTGTTATTCAAAGGAGTTATCATTAAGACTTGACATTTAGGGCTGACCTCAATTCCATTATACATGCTCAGCTCCAATTCTGGCGGGATTTAAAGGTTTGGGCCTTTAATGTCTATTCTCTCAGTTTAAAGGGTCTGAGACAGACAATGCAGGAAGGAGCAAGGAATGGGGAGCAAGAATCTGTATCACTCACCCGATCTGGAACACTTCCTATGGGTCCTCTTTTTTTTTTTTTTTTTTTTTGAGTTGGAGTCTCACTCTGTCGCCCAGACTGGAGTACAGCGGCTGCTCCCGGCCACCGCAACCTCGACCTGCTGGGCTCCAGCGATCCTTCCGCCTCAGCCTTCCAAGTAGCTGGAACTACAGGCGTGCGCTACCACACCCGGCTGATTTTTTGATTTATTGTAGAGATGAGGTCTCGCCTGCCCAGGCGGGTCTCGAACCCGTGGGTTCAGGTAATCTACTCACCTCAGCCTCCCAAAGGCACGGGATTACAGGCTGAGCCACCAAGCCCGGCTCAGGTCCTCTCTCATACACCTGCCAGTACAGGAAGAGGCAGGGGAAGAAGCCCCAGGGAAGTAAGTGCTGAGATGCCCGACTGTAATGGCAAATGGGAGGATTTGGGGAGGGAAGTCAGGGAAAGATAATGAAAGTAGGGGAGACTCTGCCTTGCCAAGCTGGAGCTTGTTTTGTCTTGCCCAAAGGGTGACTGTGAAGAACCAGCCCCCCAAGCCTCCCATGCAGTCCTCTGCTGCCCGAGCTCTGGCTCGTGTTGGGGTGGCAAAAAGAACCTAGACCAATGCTCTCATTGTATGAATGGGGAAGGTGAAGCTCAGAGAAGAAATATGATTTCTCAAAAATTACTTGCTGAGTTAGTGGTAGAGCCAAGACTAGAACCCATGTCTTCTGACCTTTGGTCCAAGGCTCTTTACACTATACCAGGCTACTAGTGTTCATATACACATGCATACATATGAAGGGGGGAGAGGACAATAAAAGAGAAGGAAAAACTTTGACCTCTTCTGCACACACACTTCAGAAAAGGGGTCAGAGGACTGCAAACATTTGCATGCACACATACATGCACACATACTCAGTGCCGCCACACCCCACCCCCTCATGCCAGCTATAGCAGGCAGCAACCACCTGGGGCTCAGTAAGCAGGGGCAAAATAAAAATGTAGGACAAAATGGTATAGCTCAAGCCCAGACAAGCTCTCCATGTCCTCTTGCCTCCCATCAGAATAAGGCACTTCCCTCAGCACAGGTAAGCCAGGCAGAAAGGTGCTCAAACCCCAAATTCCAGGCACCCTTCTTTCCTGCTGAATCAAATTCTAGACAAGAATCCGTACATCAAGCACCTGACAGGAAACGGCCAACATGGAATCCTAGTGCCAGAGTTGTGGATGCAACAGATAGCTGGGGAAGGTCCAGCAAACTACCTGCCTTCATTCCCACACTACTGTGTGCTAAATGCTCAGTATGTCAGTATTAGGATGTAGTGATAAAAAGGTTAGCTACCTGATGAAGGAAGCAAGATCCTTCCCAAGCTCTCCTGGGTCTACTCAGGGTACCAACACTCTCCTCTCAGTAACCTGCCCAGCAATTTAGACCCCAAATCACCCTTTCTCAGGCAAACTTCCAATTCCCAGACACACACCCATACACAGGTTCCCACACTGGGTCCAAGCATCATTGGGTGAGTATTTCAAACCACAACCAGAAGAAGGCCAGGTGCGTACAAGCAGCCCTAGAGTAGGAAAACTAAACAGAACAAAACCAGAGAGTCAGGTCTCTTGGATTGGAGGGAACAACACTGCCGGAGTAGAGAAAAGCGGCTTAACAAAGGACAGCTCCCTGACGGCCACACACACACCTGGGATGCGTCACTCTTCGCCTTCCCCTTCCCCAAAGCAGGGTAACACCACCTGTACAAGGCCAGCCTGTCTTGTACAGACAGAAAAATGGTACAGATAGAAAAAAGGAAATTCAAACCTTAACTACCCCCATGTCAGATATGCCTCTTTCCCACAGGCTTTCTCCACCACATCAGGGAATAATACCTCCTTGAGGCTGCTCAGGACTGCTGCCTCTCCTTTCTGCTATAGCCTTCCTGACCTCTCACTACCCACTGCCACTCCCTCACCATGGACAAGTAAGTACACCTCAGAGATCTGTGGCCAGGCTCCAACAAGTCAGAAATTAGCTTACCCAACACCTCCCAGAAGATCCATCTGAAACCATCCTAGATCCAGAAAGCACCAAGCTGGATAAGGTGGCCTATGGTGCCCTCCTCAGGTGGGAATGAGGCTTCCTACCCTGTTTCAGCCCGGAGACACCCACTCAAAAACATCCTCTTACAGCAAAACTCAATTCTTACCCTTGGAATCCCAGGTAATCACTGAACAACATATATAATCATTTCTCCTCCATGCCGGCAAGGCAGCATCCTGTCCTAACCATCAGGGGGCTTCTGGCCTGAAGACAGGCCTAGAAGGAAAGACAAGGCCTTTGTTGCCGACTTCTGGGAATCAAGTATTCCAAAGGGAGCAGAATTCCATAGCTCCATGCTGTTTCTGGGGCCCAAGAACACTCTATCCTCTGGGATATTCTACAATCTGAACCAGAAAGTTTCTGAGAAGGACGAAGGACTCACACGCCACCAATGGGCTGACTGGTCCAAATCTCTCCACAGGAAGTCAAGTCTGGGAGATGCTGTGCAGAAAAGGGCCTGACACTGCCTTCAACTAGGAAAAGGGGATAATTCCCTGAATCCACTTCAAGGGAGATAGAGCATTCCCTGTGAGAGTGATTTCCTGACTAGTTCACCAGGCCAAAAGATTATCATAGATGAACTGGCCGGGCAGGGTATGAGTAAATACGAATCAACCTACATAGGGGTTAACCAATGACCACATCAAACACCTTCACAGTCACAATAATTACCACTTATCTAGTGCCTACTACACAAAGACGCTACCTAATTTAATCCAATCCTCTAAAAAACCATTCCTGGGACCCATTTCACAGGCTCAGAGAGATTACGTCTACTTGTCCAAGGTCACACAGCTGCTAAGCTTCAAAGGGGAATTTTGAACTCAGATCTATCACCCTTCACGGCTGTGATCTTTCCACTACACCATGCTGCCTGCCTTAAGGGAAGTGATGACAATAGGTAGGAGAAAGGCCTTATTTTTTTCAGCCTTGACCTAGATGGTCCGGGGTAACTAAGAGATGTGCGGGGTTCCTCTCCTCGACCCACTAGGAATCCCTGTCTTGAACCAAGAGTGATTCTGAAGAATGGGGGTGGGGATGGATCTCTGACTCCAGGTCACCTGTGGGCTTCACACCACAGGACCCCTGACCCCAGCACCCCTTCTCCAACCCGCGCCACATCCACAACGGTCCCAGCCAACCCATCTCCCCACACCTCAAGCTGCCCACCGCCCCTCACTTCTCCGCTTCATCCCCAGCCTCGCCGGCTAAAACCAGCCCCGGGTCTTACCGCGGGTGGGCGGATCTTGCAAATGCCCGACTTCTCGGCGATGGGCCTGATTTTCGCGATGTAACCAAGAGGGTCTCGGAACTCGGCCCAGCTAGGCTCGAACACCGGGCACTCCGGCGGCGGTAGGAAGTCGTCGGACCCCGGCTCCATGGTGGACCCGAGGACTTAGCCAGGGATCAGAAGGGCTTGGAATGCCTTTAAGGACTCATGGCGCCGCCGCTGTTTGAAGCCGAGACACTGCTCGGAGACTAGGCCCTAAGCGGGGTGGCCTCCGCCCGCCAAGGGCCTGGGGGGGGCGTGTGGCTGTCGCGCTCTGAGTCTCAGGCTGACGTTTCTGCTACCGCCTCTTCTTCCTGCTCCGTTTCTTCCAAACTCTGCTACAGCCTCCCAACTACTGCAGCCTTTGCCACCACAGTTACCTCCCAGTCGCCGCGGCCTTCATCGCCGCCGCCGCCATCTTGGTTTGTCAGCGTCTCCCCCTCCCCTCACCACAACAAACCGGATCCCTCCGCCGGGTGGCCCTCCGAACCTCATACACTTTGCGTCATAGCAAGCCCTAGGAGGCCTTTATACCGTGGGGACCGACCTAAATGGGATGGTATGGGTTCCCTATTTGGAAGAAGTTGCTCAAAAGTGCCACATCGACTGAGAGAAAATAGTTCATCTGAACGGCGGAGGAGTAAAATTTGTAATTGGTTGGTCGGATCTGTTTCCGGATGGACCGGCGGTGCACGTTTAAAGGCCAGCGGTGCGCATGCGCGTTATGGAGACAGACCGGAAGAGAAGCTGGTGTTTGTGGGTGGTGGGCCCTGACACCCCCTCGTAGACCTCAGCCTGATCGCCAGCCCCGCCCCAACGTTCTCTGCCCCTTCTCCCTGGTGTTTACAACGTAGGCCGCAGAGGCGGCTTTGGGTGCCTCATTGCAAAGAACCCCTCAGCTGGCCTGTAGGTTGAGGAAGATGTACCTAGCTCGCAGCTCTGAGTTCTGACACCTCTGGGGCTTTGAAATAAGGAAGGCAGGAGGCTGCTCACTCCCCGGGGATTATGGATTTTTAGAATCCTTGGCCCCAAGTAGAGGAAGAAAATATTGATTTCGTCCAAGGTTACACATGTAGAGGTCTGTCAGAGATGGGGTTTTCATCCTTAACCCCGAAGAATTGTTGGCAGTTAGCATGTTAATGAATGCTTTCAACTGTCCTGTATGCATATTTACTGTGCACACATTTTTAACTGTTGGATGCTTAGCAACAGCGTATTTATCTAGTGCCTACTATGTAAAACACCTACTATTTGTCTATTTGAGCCTACAGTGTACTTGTTGAGCATCTGTTTACACTGATTGTATTTACTGTGCAAATACTGTGTATTTGAGTACCTACCATGTGTGCATCTACTGTCGTGTGCTTGTTCCTTAAGCCGTTTCTGAAGTATCAAACCAGTACTTTGTCCACATACACCAGGCATCTACTGATTTGAAAGTCATCTACGCCATTCATCTGTTGTGAGCCTACTGCATATAATTTGAACACATACTGTACACATATTTGAGTACTTGAGTACATCATGATTTAAGTGCTTATTTTGTATTTCCCCCAGTACCACCTGGCATGTTAAGTAGGAAATGGATGTTGAATAAACAAAAGAAAAATGAATGAGTGCCCTTAGTAAATATATTGACTGAAAATAATGTATACTCATTGCAACATTTCCTGTGTATATTAAATATTTACTATCAGCTTGAATGTGTTTGATGGGGACAGGGAGTATCATTCCTTCATCCAGTTAACTTTCTAATCAGATACTCTGCCAATTAGGTACATTCTGCCTACTTTGAGACTGAGCTAAGGACATTCTAGCTGAGGGAGTAGGGCACACAGGTAGGAGCTCATACCCAGAAGGAGCTCATACCCTAGGGTCAGAGAAGCATGCCTTCCAGTCCCACCACCTCTGCCGTTTTCTAGTTATATAACCTGGGGCAAGTCCCAACTTCTGAAACTGAAATGGGAATAATATATACCTTGCAAAATTGTTGTACAATATCTGTACAATATCTGTACAATATCTGGCACATAGCAGATCCTCAGTATCTAGTAGTTATTTTTATTTCTGAGTCAACAACCAATGTCAATACTCATTAAGAATCTCCTTTGTGCCAGACATCATGCTAGTGCTTTCAAAGTTTTTATCACCTGAATCCCTACATTACCTTGAACGTTTGGGATCTTGATTCCCATTTGGCTCATGAGGAAACTTGTCCCAAGTAATACTGATAGTATATGACATCTTTCTAATTTTCTAGGTGTCAGGGGAAACCTCAGCCCCTCCCCACCAGAAACACAAGTGAATGATCCAACTGAACAATTGCCTGGACAGTAAACAGAAAATTAGACAAGGTGATATTACTAGTCACAGTAATATTACTAGCCTCTCACATGGATAATTATCTATCATACCAATTATTTCCCTTAGTCTTTGCAATAATTTTGGGAAAAATATAAGTCAATTTACCCATTCTGTAGATGAGGAATAAAGTTCTAGAAAGATTAAATCACTTGCTCAATGTTACACAGGAAGTTGCTGATTTCTGGTCAATTGCTCTTCCTGTCATTTGCCTCACTAGGAATAGAACTTGGCAGGAGAAGGGTGAGGAGAATGAAGAAATTGGGAGAGTATGCCAAATCCTAGGCTGAAGGAAGTATGGACTTTCCATCTGGAGGCAGCTCAGTGAAGGGCAATGAGCATGAATCAGAAATCAGGAGACCAGGTTTTAAGTCTTGGCACCATTTCCTACAGCCTTCTCTGAAGTCTTTAGCTCAGACACACCCCTATTCTGGAAGATCAAATGGAAATTACCCAGAGACTTTGAAACCAGTGTGATCAAATTTATTAGCAAATATGTATTAAACGTCTACTATGCACCAGGCAATTTTCTGGGCACTGGGAATATAATGGCAACTAACACAGACATAGTCTCTGCTTTCCTAGAGAAGATATTCACCCACTGAGATTTACCAAGTACCTCACCTCCTTAAGCCTTGATTTTTCTCATTTATACAATGAAGCTAAATAATCCCTTCCTCACAGTGTTGTTAGGAGGATTAGAGATAATGATGACTGTTAGTCATCAAGGGCTAGGTGCTATGAAATAGGTATTGTTATCCCTGTACTATAGATAAGGAGACTGAAGCTCAGAGAAGTATAAACTTAGCAATGTCACATGGCTAGTAAGTGGCAGAGCCAGAACTCAAACACAGGTCTGACTGCTGTACAGTTCTGCTTGTGAGTCTCAGATAATGCTCTCCACACAGTAAGGCATTCAGGAAACAGGTTCCTTTCCTAAGCCTTGGGTCTTGCTGGAGACCAACCAGAGTGTGGACACTGTAGTCTTAAGAATTGGGGGGTAGACCTGGTGGCTCAGCCTGTAATCACAGCACTTTGGGAGCCCACGGGTTCAAGACCAGCCCAGACAACTTGACGAGACCTTGTCTCTACAATAAATCACAAAAACTAGCCGGGCGTGGTAGCGGGTGCCTGTAGTTCTGGCTACTTGGAAGGCTGAGGTGGATCACCTGAGCCCGCAGGTCGAGGCTGCAGTGGCCATAAGCATGCTACCACACTCCAGCCTGGGCAACAGAAAGAGATTCCAACTCAAAAAAAAAAAAAGAATTTGGAAGAATCAGAAAGCTCCCCCTGGGCTCGGGGCTGGCTTGGCCTCACCCACTCACCTGGGAGAGAGGGTCTGGCATGGAGCTAGCACAGAGTATGCTTGGAAGGCTTGGCTGGGCTTGAAATCACACTCACCCCATCGATGCTTTGTGGATGAACCGGATGAGAATGACTGTGTCTTACTTTTTGATTTGTAAAATAGGGTCTCTTCAGTTCTGAAATAGGTATGAGCTGTCAACTCCAACTCCTAAATAGCTCTGTAATCCATCCCCTTCTCCCCTGCCGCCTTCCACTTCTCTTAAGCCTCTATCTCTAGCATGGACTATTAAGAGCCCCCTCAAGGTATCTATGTGAACTCATGTTTACTAAATATATAGACAGAGATAGATAGATAGGGAGAAATATAGATGTATATTATGTGCTTTATACATATACATAACAACAAAATGATATACCCAAAATAATGATAATTCAAGATAGTATATTGGTTAAAATAAAAATCCATGACTCTGCATTAATATAAATAAAACGAGGGAGAGGGTAAAGAAGAATGTTAAATAATAATATAAGAGGAATAATAGAGTTAGAAAATCATCAATAGCCCGGGCACAGTAGCTCACACCTGTAACCCTAGTACTTCGGGAGGCCAGGGCTGGAGAATTGCTTGAGCCCAGGAGTTCAAGACCAGCCTAGGCAACACAGCAAGACCTTGTCTCTGCAAAAAATAAAAAAATTAGTTGGGCATGATAGTGCATGCCTGTAGCCCCAGGTACTTGGGAGGCTGAGGCAGAAGGGTCACCTGAGTTTAGGAGGTCAAGACAGCAGTGAACTGTGATCGTGTAACTGCACTCCAGCCTGGACAACAAAAAGAGATCCCGACTTAAAAAAAAAATTGCAGTTCCTCAGTCACACTAGCCATGTTTCAAGTGTTCAATAGCTATATGTGGTTAGTGGATACTGTATTGAATAGCAGTAATATAGGACATTTCAATCATCACAGACATACCTATTGGACAGTACTGGTCTAGAGCAAAGATAAGAGCTCTGAGATTATAGGACCTTTGTATTTTGTTATGTGTCTGTCCCCATCTGCATCCCCAAAGAGATTGACAGTAGCATCTCTGATGTAAAAATAGTCAATGGCCTTGTGGTGTTCTGGTCTTCAGCAAAATGGGGAGATGAGATGAACTATCCCTTCACAGTTTGGATGGTAAGCCTCCAGGGAGATGGAAAGGGTGTGGGGCAGGGACAGCCCAGTGCTGGGACTGCAATGAGGATGAGAAGAGAACTTAAAAGCTAAAAGAAGTATGAGGAGGTCCCAGAGAGATCCAAAAGTTTGGTACACAGGTTGCATCAATCAATAAATCAACCAATGCAAATATACCTAAGTCTAAGACTTCATTTAGAAAGAACTATTCATTCATTCATTCATTCAATTAACACAATTTTAGTGATATCTGGGCTGTGCTGGGCGTTGTACTGGGCAACTCTCTGGACGAAGATGATTCAGACCAGTGTCACCCTTAAACCACTTACAGCCTGGTGGGGAAGATAATGATGTGAGGGTTCTCAGAGAATGTGATAAACGGCACATTTTATTATCTAACATCCTAAGTATATACACAGAGCTCTTAAAATGTATCTAGCCTTGTGCCTTCCAAATCACCCCCCGCCCTCAAGGACAGAAATGTGGCTAGCCATTGCAGGGAGGACAAAGGCAAAGCCAGGTTGGCCATAGGCAGCAAGAGAGTAGAAGCAAAGAATGGAAGCAAGTATCCTTCCTTCCTTGCTGAGCACCTACTCCAGCCTGGCTGCTTGACATTCATTACCTCATGTAATCATCACAACTCTGTGTGGCGACGGCTTATCACCCTGAGTTTTAAATTGAGGAAACTGAGACTCAGAGAAGGTGACTCTCCCAAATTCACCATAGCA